CTTGGATGAAAACTTTTTTAGATAGCAGCAAGCATATTTTTTACGAAGTAGTTTAAATAAGGTGAGAGGTGAAAGAGATAAGATGAAAAGAGAGAAAGATAAGTTGAAAAAGGAATTAGAAGAAGAAAATTTGGAGTGGCAAAGAAGAAAGCAAGAATGGGAGGAAAAGAAATTTGTGTTGAAAAAAAAAAGACAAGTGTTGATAAGTGATAAGAACTTTTTTAAATGTAAAGTGCAAGAGATGTTAATGTAAGTTATTTTTTTTTTTTTATGATATAATATAATCTAATATAATAATATATAATTAAATAGGGATGAAGTAAATAATAAGAGAAGTAAGAAGGAAGAAGAACAGGAAGACATTATTGTAATTGAGAGTAATGATTCTATGACAATATGAGTTTCCGAAGAAGAAGAAGAAAAATAGACTTTACTAAAGTTTTAATAATAAATAATAATTATAATAAAAATTTTTTTTTTTTTTTTTTTTTTTAATATATATATAGGTTAAAAGATAAAGGCAAGAAGAAAGTTGTTATTGAAAAGAAGAAAGAAGACTTTATGAATTTAGATTTTGAAGGGATGGAGTGGGTAGATTGGGATAGGTTAGTTTTAGACAATACTAAGGATAGGATTAGCAGTTATGGTCCGGGGTATAGAAGATTGTAAGGTTATTTTAGCAAATAAAGTTTAAAAATTTTTCTAATAAGATAATATAAATGAATAAACTATAAAAGAAATATAAGTTTACTAATAATCTTTTCTCTTTCTCAACATTTTCAGCTCTCGTTCGATGACGACAGTATCACGTGACTATCATAGTTCATATATATATATATAAAGAAAAATTTTTTTTTTTTTTTTTTTTTTTTTTTTTTATATGTAATACGCTTTACAATAATTCTTCTACAGATCGATTTTTGCCTGGGACCCTGAAATACGTGGTGGTGGTACAACCCTTACAATTATAACAAGTGGACGATCTGTATTATCTTAACTTCGTTTCAAGTCTTCTTTTCCAGCAACAGTTATAATGGTGGGCCCTTTCATGGATTTTTCTGGAGTCTTGCTACTACGGTTGTTGCTTTGGACCAATTTGTTCTCTTATGAGCATCCTCTGACAAGGCTAGTGAAATTGTTGGCACTTATCTTGTCAATCTTTTGTAAGCTGAGCGTACTAGTCCTGTAGATAAATTCAACGCCATATATTCGAAAAAGTTAGTACATCCTGGTGAACACTTGATGGTAATATTCCAATATATTCTGAGTATGCAAGTCTCCTCCTACAGTTGAATTGGCTTCCTCAATCAATTCTCCAAGGTAATATGCATAGATCAGTGCTCTCTTTTGTTGTCGTCGTCGATTTCGAGTTAATAGTAGTCTTTGATAAGTAATTTAGATTCTTTGTTCCAGATCGTCAGTGGGTTGATATAGTTCAGGATCAATTACAACGTGTGATAGATTTATGAAAATAAAGTTCTCGTAGGACGGCTTCGACTGTGGTTTCCATTTGTGAGATAAGTGAATCCTTCATTCTTTCACAGTCTCTTTTATAACCTTTGGATCGTTTTACTACTTCGTTTATAATATCGTTTTAATAGTAATATATTAATAGGGGTGCTTAGAATTTGTCCTTCAGTTATTCGCAATTTATATACATCTTGTGCGATTCTTGCATGTATGAAGTATGGTCCTTTCCACTTAGATAAAAACTTTCCTGCCAGATTCTTACTTACGGCCATGTCATATAACAGTACCATATCATTTACTTGAAACAACCATTTAACCTTTCTATGCTTCTTGTTCCAATAGAAGTGTTGTTTATTTTGGACTTTGGTAATAGTGGTTCTAGCCCTTTCCTGAATGATCAGTAATTCTTTGGTAATAGTGTACAGGCACGTTAATAGAGTTTCTTTAAGAATTTCTTGCTACAATATAGGCAAATCAGCCTCTTAACCATAAGTTAGTATGAATGGGGTAAATTTAGTAGTTGCTTGTTTTGCAGTTCTATAAGCAAATAAAACTGCAGGTATTAACGTATCCTATTCTTCTTTAGTATCGAGTTTTGCCAATGATTTGCATAAAGTTCGATTGAAGCGTTCAACTAGTCCGTTCGTCTGGGGGTAATACAGTGTTGATAATAAATGGTTAATTTGAAACTTTTTGGCTAGTCCTTCTATCATTTCATTTTTGAAGTGCATTTCTCGATTCATTAATATATATTTAGAGCTTCCATATCAGCAAATGATTTTATCATAGATGAAATCAATAGTAGCTTTTGCATCGGCTGTGAGCACAGCCTTTGCCTCTGGCCACTTAGTCAAATAATCGGTAGCCATAATTATGTATTTATTGTCTCTTGTAGTTCGAGAAAGTGGTCCAACATAATCGATCCCTATATGGTAGAACAGGGCTTCAACAGGTATAGGTTGTAATGATTCAGAGATTCTAAACTTGCTTTGTCATTAACATGCATGATTGTACATCTGGGGCCAGTAATATCTGATTTTGATTTTTCTACTATCTTATCGACTCCTAGATGTGCTTCAGTCAGGTGATGATGAAGTAAGTATAGGATCAGTTTGATTTCGTAATCTTGAATAACTCATACTAATTGTTGGTTTTTTGTTCTTCTTTGATATAATTGCCTGTTGTTTAGGATGAAGTTCTTGCTCTGGGCTGTTATCTGTTTTTGGATATATGGGGTAATGTTAGTTGAATATTGCACAGTTTCAAGGTAAGGTTTTATTTGATTATTTTCTGTTTCCTCCATTGTTTTGCTTGTGAGGTTTCTAATTGCTATGTTTTTCTTTTTTTTTTTTTTTTTTTTTTTTTTTTTTTTTTTTTAAGTGAAGCGATTGGTTTGGTTAGAATCTCAAGGCTTCTAGGTGCAACAGTTTTGATGGAGTGATAAAACAGATACAGGCAATTGATTTGGATAAAAATTTATCCTAGGTAAGTATGTTAGTTTTTTTGGTTATCTATTGTCTGATTATAAAATATTAACTGTGCATTTGAAATTTCTCTTTTTTTTTTTTTGAATTCTAAGTATATTTGGTTAGACTGGCTCGGGTGGTAGTTAATTGATGTAGATGGTTGGGTTCAGGACTTTCCATCAGATGGAATTACAAAGATAATTGTTGGTGTAGTTATTAAATTCTTGAGTGTAAGTAAAGGTCGAGGTTTCAAGCATTGATAGCTACCAGAGTTGAACTACTAACCTTTTTTCATCAGTCTTTAAAATGTAGTTAATTTGATTAAAGAATTTAAAGACGTCGACGGTTTCGTCAGACTCATAATCGAGCAGAAGATATGTCCTGGGTTCAGTATATATATACTCTATATCGATTCTAATATTGTCGATGAGGCTCACAACTTCTGATTTTTCTTCTTGCAACTCTTCTTCATCACTTTCAGGTGTAGCCCAATAACTCAGAACAACTTCCTCGATTGGGTACAATTTGACAGTGACCCATAATTTTAGGTCTAAATGACAAGTCAAGCATTTGTCACTAGAAGAATATAGCCATGTTTCACACCAACATTGGGTGCTTGGGTCTATATAATCTTAGAGGTATTTTCATTGTTTTCTTCTCTTTTTCAATCGACTGACAATATATCCAATATGATACCACATACTCATTATACTATCATAATATATGCCTTGTGATATGAACTTAACTTGTTGATAAGGCTTTACCATCTTCATAATATTAAAGGTTGGGACATACTGTAGAGTTTGTCATACTTCTTCTAACATATCTTCATCTATTAGAGGCACTAACCCTCCACATTCGACCATATAGACTTCGATTAAGTTTTTCTAATTGGCATTGTCAGGCTCTATCAGAGGACTCTTTAAGACATTTTGTGATGTTTTCTTGCTTTCTAATGAGTCGTCTTTATATATTCGTGATAATATATTCACATTTTTATGTACTCTACTAGCCTTGTGCATAATAGTAAAGTCATAAGGCTTGAGGCGCAAAATCTACCTAGCCCTTTTTCCCTTAAGCTTTGTGGTTTGTAGGCACTTTAATACGGCGTGATCAGTGATCAGATAGAAGTGCCTACTGCTAATATACTGATAGAAATATTTCACAGCTCATATCATGGCAAGGCATTCTAGCTCTGTGATGGAGTAATTTTGCTCTGCCTTGGTCAAACTTCGACTTGCATATGCAATGGCATATTCTCGTCTTTGATCATCAATTTGTACTAAAATAGCTCCTAATCCAAAGGTGGATGTATTGGTGTATATATAAAAGGGTCATTCGAAATCGGGTTGTTGTAGAATGGGGGCCGTGATAAGATAATTTCTTAAACTATTGAATGCTTGCTGCTGTTGACTAGCCTATATATACAGCTCGTCTTTCCTTAACAGTTGGTTTAAGGGCTTGGTGATTTTAGAGAACCCGTTGATGAACTTTCTATAATAGGACACAAGTCCCAAAAATCCTCTAATTGCCACAGGATTGTAGGAACGAGGTAATTCTTGATTTTGTCAACCTTCTCTTCATCGGGGTGCAATTCATCCCTTCACACAACATGATCTAGGAATTTAACGTTGGGTAGGAAAAAGAAGCATTTAATCTTAAATTTGCTTTTTTTAATTTAGTAAATACAGCTTGGAGATGCTGTAAATGCTCTTTAAATATGGTTGAATATACGGTGATGTCATCCAAGTACATAATGACAAATTTATTAATGAACTCCTGCAGAAGGGTGTCCATTAGTCGTTGGAATATGGCGGGGACGTTACAGAAACCAAATGGCATTACGTTGAATTCGTATGTGCTGAATTTGGTGACGAATACCATCTTTTTCTTGTCTTCTTCTGCTACAGTGACCTGTCAGTAGCCACTGACCAGATCGAGACTTGAGAACTAGGTGGCCTTTCCAAAGCTGTCTAATACGTCATTAATATTCGGAAGTGGATATACGTCTTTTTCTGTTACAGTGTTCAACTTTTGATAGTTGACGCAGAGGCATTTCTTGCCGTTCTTCTTTGGAACTATAATGATGGGAGAACTTCATAGTCCTGTGGATGGTCGAATAACTCCCAATTCTTCTATCTTTTGGATTTCTTGTTGAAGGAATTCTTGCTTGTGGGCGGGATATGATAGGGCCTTTGCTTAATCGAAGCTGCATCTCCGATAATAATATAATAGTGCATGTGATCTGTGTAGCCTAACCTATGGTCTGGCTATTTTTGGAGATATCTGTGGCAAATATCTCATAATTTTGCACAAGCAAATCTTGGGCAGCCTTCTTTTGTTCAGAGGTAACCTCCTGCTCTACATTGAATTCGGGTTTCCTTGGGGCCATGGGATTATTGTTGGATATTTCAGTAAGGTATATTGCCGGGTTGTCCTGATTAATACTTACTTCTTGTTCCCAAGGGTTGTAATACAGGTCTTCATCTGAGTTGACGGCTAATTCATCGGAGAAGAACATTTCTAGTTCTTCCTCTTTGTCTAATTTATCAATCCATTGCTCATCGTCATCATTTTCGTCAATTGGTAATAGCAGTAGATGTATAATGTGAATAGTGTTTATGGTGGCTTGTTTGCCTAAAGATCTAATGTGTAAGGTATGTTTTCCAAAATCTAGAGTGGCTCTAGATTTGGTGAACTAGTCAGTTCCTAACAGCAGAGTTTCATCTATAGATTCGATTACTTGGAGGTCTATGGATATAATGATGTCCTGTAGGACTATCCTCATATTTTCGACTATACTAAGAGCCTTAGCTCTTCCTCCATTGGTGATAACGACCACGGTCTTGGACTCTTGGGTAGGGGTAAGGCCCAGTTTTTGCATAAGCTTTTGGGTGATTATGCTTACTGTTCCACCTGAATCCAAAATTGCAACCACAGGGTTGCCTTTGATTTTTATGTGACACCTCATAGCGACGGTCTTCTGAGCTTAATCTGTCAATACTTGGTTCGCTTCGGTAGTTGGAGGCTTTTTCCTTCTCAAACCCTTTGCCAAATTTCGTTTTTGTTCTGAATATTTCAACATTTGACCATATGTAGTGTTAGCTCATATATTCAATAAATCTTCTGATATGTCATACAGAGCAAGCTGGTCTACAATCGATGACAGTTGCTTCTGTATAACCCTTTTAGGTCATACGATGGGAGTTGGTTGAGTTTGAGGTTGGGGTCAGGTTGTTGATTTTCAACATTCATCGGAGCAGTTGTTGACGGTTAAGGCCTGGGCACTATCTTTCAATAAGTTTGTTCCTTCTGCTGTTCTGACTGCTTCTGCTTGGCCTCCCTTCTATCCTTCGTATAGGGTTGGTTTCTAGGGTTCTGGGAGACATACACCATTTTCTCTTCATCCTAGTTATCATAATACTCTTCTATATCAGCGTAGCTAATGTTTCGTCGTCGAAAAGAATTGGGGTACATATATCAGGGTGGAGGTAGGGATGGCAAAAAACATGTTTTTTATTTTCTTATGTTTTAAAACATGTTTTAAAACATGTTTTAAACTATTTTTTGTATTTTTTATTAAATAATAAAAAAATTTATACTTTATAAATACAGTTTTTTAAGTATTTAATATGAAAAATATCAAAATACACTAGTAGTATTTGATATACATATATTTTTGCTATGAAATTTAGAGTAAAATGCATTAGTGATATTTGACACCATATATATTTTTTGCTATGAAATTTAGAGTTAAAGTAGAGTTATAAGGTTAGATATAAAGGTTCAAATTTTGGTTAGTATAAGGATTTGAAGATTTTGAACATTTTTATTTAATACATCTGACTTTAGTTTTTAGTCAATTGTTTAAAATTTAATAATTGTATTATTAAATATTACTAGTGCATTTTAATAAACTTGTATTATAAAGTTTAAGAATTTTTTAGATATCAGAAGGATTAATAAAAATTTTTAACCTATTGTTTACTTTTATTGTGAAGAGTTTTATATATTATATGATTAAAATTCTATACTATGATTAGTTTATAAATAAATATTGTTTTTTATTGTTTTTTATTAAAAAATTTAAATGTTTTAAAACATTTAAAATATGTTTTAAAACAGATTGTTTTAAAACATTTGCCATCCCTAGGTGGAGGTGACCCAGTAGTTGGTCTTCTTTTCGATAGACAATTCCGAGCGAAATGTCCTTTTTCACCACATCTATAACAAATCGGCCTGGTCTTGATGGCGGTGGTAGGTTTAGGTGGTTTAGATAGTCCAGCAGTGGTTTGCGTGATTAAGGCAGAGGCGATAGTTGCATAGTTAAGTAATATCTGTTGCATTTGCTTTGTTAGGAACTCAATGTCCTTCTCCAGATCCCTGGATTTCATGACTTGAACGAGATTGGCGTTGGTTGCGAAATCTGTCCCTTGTTCATGGGTCAGTACTAACTTGCGGACTCCTTTTAAGTTGGTAGGGTTATGCATCAAGACCAACAGGAGCATGTCAGGTCTTAGTTCTCTCTTAAAATAGTACAGTTGCTGAGCGTCTTCAACTTTTTCACAGATCTCTACTTGTTTAACCAACCATTTGAACTTGCTATAATAGATGTTGACAGACTTGCCCGGTTGCTGCTTCAACGTATCTAGTTCACGCAGCCATTTGTTCTGCTAGCGTTGGGTGCAGAACTGTTTCTTAAAGGCCTTAATTGTGGCAGTCCAGTCATTAACAGGGTTGGTAGTGGCAGTAGTCCCAGAGAAATATGTTTGCTGCCATTCATCAGTGTTGTCCCATAAAAAGGTGGGTAGAATGGCTCTTTTTCTCTTCGCATCCCAGTTATTAGTGGTGGCAGCTTTTTCAAAACTTTTGATCCACGCTTATAGGTTCTGAGATCCGTCCTCCAGAAAGGGTTCGACTCACAAGAAAATGCTTTCTTTGAGTGCGACTTGAGAAAATTGAGAATATCGTCATTTGAGATCATTTTTGTGGTAGGTGGGAGCAAGTTGGGTGTTGGGCATTTAAATGCTGTGTGGTTGGGTCTCTTAAGAGCCTTTGCGATTGATAGGGTTGGGGATTTGGAATTTTCACCAGCTTGTTCTAATAAAAGTTCTTCTAATTCTTTCTTAAATTTTAGGGATAATAGATCCTTCTCAAAGCAGTCCGTATATATCACGATCGATAAGATTAGCCTTACTAACTCTATTAAATTTCCAGAGGGTTTATTATATCTAATACTAAATATCAATCTGCAGATAATATTTTTACATTGCAGTATATTAAATTGTTTTAAAATTTCTTCTAATTCCTTAAGATACTCTATGGTTTTTCTAGAAAAAGAAAATATGGGCACGGTTAGTCTATACCAAGTGATGAAGTATTTGAACGATTGTGGTAAATTATTCCTTATCAAGTAACAAGTTTCACATGAATTGTTGCTCAGTTTGTTTTCTATATCTTCCCAATATGCTCTTTGATGTTTATCGATTCTTTCTAAGTATTTCTCAAAGTTAAAGCTTATGCAATTTTATGATTTTTCTTTTAAATGGTGAAGCCGTATCTCACAGTCACCACCAAATATTACACCCGAAACTACCTCTTATAAGTCCAGTATAACGTTTTACTATAGCGACGGTTAAGTTAAGTAATTCCAACAAGAATGCCGATTTAAGCTAAGTAAGAGATGAGTTTAGTGGTGGTTACGCTTTTAAGAGGATTTGAGTGATTTGCTTTTACGAAAAAGGCAAACGACTACTTGTATATGAAGATACAAATAGGCATATAAACAAATTTATGACTTATACTCAAGGTTATTTGTGTATGAAGACACTATAACTGAGATAGGGTTTTATTCAAGCGATCTGTGTATGAAGATACAATCACACTTGTAAAGAAGGGTTATTTGTATGATTTATTTAATAAAATATTTGAGTTGTTCATGTATGAAGACACAATTACTCTTTATTTATTATCAAGTGGTTGGAACTTTGAGTTCTGTTCTTTACAAGAGTAATTTCTAAGTCTATTTATATTTTTTGAACTATCAATCTCTATTACTATTTTTATAAATTACAAATTTACTAGGACTACTAATTTTTAACAGAAGGTATAAATGCTATTAATATAATAAGTACTTTAGAATTACTGGTCCTATCTATATTACTTTAGCACTAGTTAATACTGTTCACTACTATTCAGTACTCTTGATATTGGTGTTATATTTCTGTCTAGTATCACATAATGTTAAGTTACAGGGGTTAACAGTATACTTAAACTTTAATAATTAATAAATTTGTTTAAAATATATATAACTATATATTTTTTTAGGTGCTGAACATATTTTACTTAGAAAGTAATATAGATTATCTTAATAAAATTTTGAGTAATTTTAATTTATTTAATTGTCCAAAATTGTTCAAAGTGTCCAAACTCACTGTCCACAACTGTTCCGTGACAATACTGCTCTTAGCATTTCCAAAATCAGTTATTTTTGCATTTCCATAATGAATAACAATGTTTTTACGTATTATGCTAATCAGAATATTTAATATCATTAAGCATAAGAGCGTATTTAACCATTAATCGATTTTTAATGTTAAAAATATCTTACTAGGTCTCGGTGAATAATGTGTTCACTGTGTAAATAACACAGACCATTTGCGATTTGATAAGCTAGCTTAAGTATTTGATTCCAACCTAGATTACATTTTGTTCGAAGAAACTCTTGTCAATTACCGTCATTCGTATATTCCATTACAAGATAATATTAGTTTTTTATGTAATCTTTTATTATATATAAACAAATTAAAAATAATTTAAATATGTAATTAAACCGATTAACTAATTTGAAAATACCTTTACTAACTCCTAGAAGTTGAATGATATTTTCGCAAAGGTCTCCTATCCTAATATGCATTGTTAATTTATGAATAAATGCTGTGTATTGATTATACTTTATATCTTTCACATTTGTTAATTTTTTGCAAATGACATAAGCTCTTATTTTTGTCTAATGAGCTTTCCTTATTATACCTAAGCATTGTAAAATAAGAAATATATATAAATCAATTATATCACATATGATTCAATTCAAGTTTCATACCAAAATTTCCTTCATCAATTTTTGAAATGTTATTTAGCTCATCCCAGAATATAAATCTAATTAATTCTTTCGACATTTCATATTCTAAAATGTGAAAAACTGTTTGTAATACAGAAATAATTGACTAATTATTCTTAAATTCCAAATACCAAAATTATCTTCACTTGATAGATTTAATTCATCAGGCTTATAAAATTCAATCATATTATCTCTCCAATTAGTAAGAATTTCATAGATTTCTGAAGCTGACAGTCATTGTTTTGGGTCTACGTTCAAACATTTTTCATAAG